AACGAAATAATATTTTTAACACTTGTACGCACTTCAGCTCATTCGTGGGTAGCTGGTTACAGTGGTACCAAATTCATGTATCAAGAGAGCAACCACATATCTTATTTGAATGGATGGGTGGTTTAAATTAATTTGAGTACTTTTAGTTGTAAATAATATTATTTATCAGTATTTTAGATATACTTATTTTGTTAAGTGTATACATATAATGGGTATGAAGAGAGAAGCTCCCTAGTTAAAAATTGCTTGGATGGGTAAGTAATTTTTGGATTCTATTATCTTTCTAAATATAATTTTTAGTTTGTTATTGATAATTCACGTTTGAAAAAATAAATGAAAATCATAATTTAATATTTTTTATGGAGTTAAATAAAATAATTAATATCCGAAAATTTGCTAAAAGTTAATTATTTATAAAGCAAAAAAACTTTAATTTTTCAAAAAATATAAACAAATATCTAATATGGTTAGAAATTATATTTTCAAGACAATTAAATTATAATAAAATCTATTAATAGTGATTTTAATCGTTTATAACAAAGCAAATTAAATACAAACAAAAAGAATAATTTTTCAACAAGTAATAATAACAAAATAATAACAACAGGTTATAAACCATTTGTATCAATTAGTTATTAGTTATTGTTATTGATATTGCTATTACTAAAACATTTTTTTAATAAATTGACTGGTATAAAATATAATTACTAAACTTACTGATAATAATCAAAAATCATAAAATAACTGAATTTAAAATAGGTAATCTTCAATATCTACATTTTATAGCATTGAAAAACTACAAATCTTAGTCAAACGTGCATTAAAAATTGGTTTATTACGTTATTTATTACGTATAATAATAATTTTTGACAAAAATTGTGAAGTACGTGATTACATTTTTGTAAGTTGAAAATTTTATTTTAATTAAATGCGGCGTATGCCTATTGAGGGAGACAAGACCAGACCTTTCGCATTTATTTGCCACCGATGTTTTTGTTATTTTCTCAAACTCCAACCTCGCGCAAAACTATCGAAATGTATATTATGTCGTGTCTAAAACTCCGGACACGCACAACCTCACCCTCTTTTATTCCCATCCACCATTTCTATACACCGGGCAACAGTGAACTTTTCAACAGTTACAACGAAATGGGTCGTAACAGTCTCTGTTTTATGATTACATTAGCAAAATACAAGAAGGGTCATAGGAGAGAGGTCAAGAGAAGAAGGAAGGAGGGATTAATTTAAAATCAGAGTTATTATTATCAAATTGTGTATAATACACAAAAGACAACAGTATGTAAAAAACAAACACGCGAAAGCAGTTTTGGCGTATTTTTTTCCTTCTGCTTTCGAAGACGCACTTAAGGCATTTTTCAAGTATATCTGATTCATTTTTTCCCCTAGTTATATATTCTGTCGTCTTTTCTATTTAATCTTCGAAGGAAAAACGTATTATATATTTTTACCGTAGAGAAAAACAATATAAAAAGAGAGAGAGAGAGAGAGAGAAAGAACACCCTGTCGTCTCTCAAAGGAAAAAACTCAAGGTTTACCTGCGGTTGATAAGTCGTATATTATTCTCGACCCTGAAGGCGATATATTCCGGAAATTTCTCTCGGTTTATTCGGATACACGCTAGCGTAGTGGCAAAATGTAGCTTTTTGTTCGGCCAGTCCAATATTATATTATATATATATATATATACATATACGATACGTATTATCAGCAAACTACTACAGATCAAAAAAGAATAAAACAAAGAAAAGAAAAAAGTTTCTAGATATTATTTGTTAGGTGCACAAAAAATGCTGGGTTTGGAACTTACTAAAAAACTTCAACGAACTACAACAAAAATAATCTTGAAATGCTTGAAATCTATCATATAACCTACGAGTATATTAGTTGAGAATATTTAATAAATTATTAAATAAAATTTAATACAAAACAAAAAGAAAATAGAAACTTACTTTGAAGATAAATCTCATTGATTTAGGTTCAATATTTAAAAGTTAACAGAAAAAAACCAAACGAAATAATTATCGGTGTTTGTACAAATGTGCAAGTAAATATGTGTATACCCAAACAATTTATAGTTATTTCTTACCCAACAAAAGTGCGAATACGTATTACATTCAGCTTATTTCTATGTAGTCAAGCCAAATTGGTATTGATACTTCACTCATGACTGTTTTTAAAATCAAAATACCTTTAACTTTTATATTACATTTTTGTAAACAATATTATTTGTGTTTTGACGATTGTTATTTTAAAAATATTGAATTAAGAGAGTAACAAATACCAAAAAAATAAGATCATAAAATTTCATAGTATTCAATATTTATTCCCATAAACATCAATATACTATTTCTCATCTTATACTAATAATAACTTTAAGTTAAAAATATAAATAGATAATAAAAACGAGACAACATTTAGTTTAATAATATTGTTTACAGTATAAAATCCGAAAAAACGAATAATTTAAATTGAAAAAGTCGATCTGATAATTGACAAAATTTAAACATTTGTATGAGATACAAATTTACGGAATTAAAAAAAGTTAAAACGTTGTTATAAAACAAAATTAATGTTTTCATTGAAAATTAAATAAAACTATGATTAATGAATATTGTAATATATTTAAAATGAATTCTATCGATCTATCGAATAAATTCATTGTACATTAAGTACACATTATAATAATGCCATTGTTTGAAATATTTATCTCTTGAATCTCATTTCATGTCGAAATGCAACCAAATATAACTAAAATGCACTTACAAATATATATGTCCGATCATTTCAATTCAAGTTATATTAGTAAAGGTGAATGAAAAAAAAGTAAAAGGAAGAATTAGCGAATTAATTGACATTAGCGTTGGTTTTGGCTTCTGTGTGATAAACGAGCGCGTCACCTCCCTAATCGCGCGCCGCCCGTACAGTATCAATCAACTCCCGGGCGTGTAAACTTTATAATAACAGTAAACCACCAAAAATGAAGGGGATGGAGAAAAAAGCGGCGTCATCTCCACGCAAGTTTTTCTCTCTGTAACCGAGCGGGAAAAATTACCGCTAGGTCGTCGCCGCGGTCTTTTAACTTTCTCCCATTAATTTTCATTTTCTTCGCCATTTTTACCACCCCACCATTCTTTTCGCTCTGAAGTCGCATCTGGCCGGTTTTTAATGTGATTTGTTGTTATACACCTCAAATGGCCGGTAACTTTTTTCCCACCCACTCTGCTGCCGACCAACATCTATACGTATACAATATTCGTCTGGTCTACTATACAGGAGAAAAGTTTCCACACTCGAAAAGTCAACTACATTCGGCCAAAACGATATAGTCTTCCACTACGTTTACTCTAAAAACAGTTTGCTTATCATTTCTTAAAACGAAATTCATGTATTGAAAAATTAATAAATAACTAAAAAATTTGCCAATACGACTAAAAAAATATAGCATAAAAACAGATAATATTATACTTTAAACAAAATAGAAAAAGTATCAACTTTTAATGATAACTGCTACCATAAGTCTTTAAGGATCTTAAATCTTGAAAAATTTAATTGTATAAGATGATGTACTAAAAGAAATAGAATAATTAATAATGTTAAAATTATTTAAATAAATCCACATAGTTTATCTATAATAATACTATAAATTTAAATATTCATAAAGAAATTAAATTTTAAGTTATTTGGCTTGGGGATATAAAATATATACAATATTCCTAAAATTAAATTAATAAAATTAATTTTTTAGTAAAAAAAATCCCCACGGACTACCGAGCATTTCAAAATTCAAATGACAAATGATACGAAACAAATTAACATTTCATCAAAAATAAGTTAATAAGTAATAGTTTAACGTATCTAAAAATATAAATAGTTTTAATAAGAAAAATATTGCCCATATTTAGCTTACTGAGAAATGTTTTAATTAATGGTTAGTTTTGATACGAATGGCACAAAGACATAATTGCTTTTGGACACAATGATCCCTTCGGGCTTTTGTGGAAATTCGATGCTGTAAATAGGTGATGGAAGGATACTGCAATGTACAGAGTAATTATGAACTTATTATTATAAAGGGATTGGGATTCAACCGACAACTTTAGAGTGGTTTGTGAATTAGAAACAGACCCGTAGGGCAAACAACTGCGTTAATAATACATTTTTGAACTAGATATTATTTACATAAAATATTTTGTAGACGATGTCTTCTGTTTAGAAGCAAATTCAATTAAACGCCTGAGTTTGTTTTAAAAGATGATCGTTAGGGAGCAACAAACGAAAACTGGAAACATTTCCGTAAATCATAGGTAACAGCAAATAATAAAGGTCCTAACAACCAATGAATCATTTAAGAGGAGAAAATTTGAGTTGATATTATCATGCGAACCGAAAATGAGAATGAAAAGAAAAAAAGTCATACGCATTTCGTAGAATGTTGTCGTTGACGTTACGTAAGATAAATACACTGTGTTGTTGGGTAGGGAATGCGTTTTTTGACGCAGAAATAGTGCGCTTCCGACAAATCGAGTAAAAGGGAATTTTATATTATTGTAAACTTCTACATGATTAACTTCGAATGGGAAATGTGTTCGCAGCTCTGGCGGATAGAATGAGACCGGCTCCGTTTTCACGCCAGAAACGATGCATGAGGAAAGACCAGAAGGGAAAGAGAGAGCAAACAAACCACTTGGCAAACCCTCTTCGAAACGGATGCTCGAAGAAAAGAAATAACAGTGCACTGGCTGGCGGGGAGGGGAAACATTTATTTTTGATACATACCACAACAACAGCAACAACAGAAAAATTGTTTTTAAATACGGTTTTAGCTCATTCGAAGTTTGGTCAAAGACAAGGTTGATGGAAGAAACATTGTCTTCGGTCGTATAAATACAATGATAATAATAAATACAAAAATGTGCGTGAACAAAAACCAAATGCATATATAATAATCACGATTATTAAAGGAAAAGTTTTGTACTTACCATCATACACTTCAAGTTTAGCATTTGCACTGACAGCATCACCCACGCCATTTTCGGCAAAACATTCGTAGACCGCGTTATCCCTAGGCGCCCGAGTAGGCTCTATGCGCAAAACCGACCCGGTTTCACTGTCACCAACCACTTTATCCACGATTTCATATCGACTCAACGAATCCGTTACCCGCTTGTTGTTCTTTTTCCATTGGATGGTAGGACGGGGGTCACCACGGGCACCACAGTAAAACGAAGCCACACTATTGGTTTTCGCCTGCTGTGGTCTCGGCTTAACTGTTAACGACGGAGGCTCTATAGACAATAATAAATATTAATTAACATGATTTATTATAACATTTAAACACGTATAAAACAATTGGTACTAAAATAGAAATGCATCGATTTCAATATTAGAGTATACCATAAATAAGCATAATACAATATTAATTAACAGTCATCATAAGAAAAAAACAACCTGATGATTCAATCTTTGATTTTAGAACATTAGTTCATGTTTCAAAATAAAAAACATCCTATAGCTACATACTTGCATGAAATTACAATACATTTGACTTCCGAACACGAATATTGGGGAATAAGTTAGACTGATTCGGTTTTTTGTTATTTTATCATAAAACATATAAATATATATCGACGGTGAACAATAAATCCCTAAGAAATTTATATTTATTTTAAGACAAAAAAATTATATTAAATTATATTGTTTAAAATGAAAATATTTAATTCCATAATCAATTTGATTTTTAATGTATACTTTCACACAATAAAAGTAAAACTTATAAATATTAATACATTATTTGTCTGTTATACTCAATATTATTACATAAAAAGTTGTATATGAGTACAATTAAAAAAACCAAGGATTATTTATTTATACTCAGTGATTTACTTGGTCAACAATTTAACAAACAAAACTTATTAAATTTTTACATTATTTTCATATCTAAATTATTAATTGCAATTGGCTGAGAAAATTGATAAATTCAATAATGAATGAAAAAAAGTGTCACATAATAAATATATCTACGGAACAATGGCCTAAATTAAATAATTGAAATACTATGAAAACTAGTTTGAAAAGTTTTAACAAGCCAAATAATAATAGTAATAATAATAGCTAGTCTATTCTAAAACTATGAACCTTTGAGATTTAAAAACTTTTCATTTTGTTTCATCATTCACTCAAATTTATGAAAGCTTTATGTATGATAACCTTTGCCATAACATATTTAGATTCACATTAAAAAATATTACGTGACAAATGGTATCTAAGTTAAATTTCTTTCTTTCCCTGAATTTTTTTTTAATTCAGTTTCACATATATTTAAAAACAATAAAGTTCTCCGAAGTCTAACGGGATTTTAAAAATGCACCCCCAAATAAAAAACAAAGTAAATAGAGAAAATAACATTTTCAACATTCTAAGTATTTTTGAGGTAGTTTAAACATTCATTCTCCTCATTTACTACATTTTACTCAACGTGAGTTGTTTTGTTATTACTGTATCCCGAGTATCAAAAACTTCAAATTGTTGATACTTCTATAAAGAAACTTCTTCGGGTCACTTAAGCTATATATATATATATATATATATATATATATACTTAGCCGTCATACAAGAGGCGCTACATAAATTCGTTAGGTAACTATTTTTCTTATTTTTATTTTTTGGATTATTCATCGTAGTTTTTATTTTTATTTTTACCGAAACAGTAAAAATGAATTCGAGAGACTTTTGCCTCGATACTTTTTCTATCTCCGTGCAACATGAATATTTATGCAGAAATATTTTGACCTTTTTCGTTGTTGTTGACAAATAACGTAGGATATTTATTGCGCTGTAATATACTTACGTGTCAAGTATTGAATAAATGGAAATGCGGAGAAATTGGCGCCTGTAAACATTAGGAAGACCACGTGCAGTTCTCCGAACCAACAGAAACCGGAAAATTATCCGACCCAGACTTTACTTAACGCTTTACATTTTTAATACCTTAAGTGTTTATAAAAACCCAAAAAGGTGCAGAAAAGTGTTGTAAGTAAAGGAGGAAGCTTTTAAATGTGTTCATTGTTAAGAAAAAAACTAGAGTAAATTTTTCAATAAGAAGAAAACTGTATTACGTGTTTTTAACGTTTGTTATTTAATATATATATAGGAATATAATTTTCAACTCCTCTAGTGAGCAAAAAAAGATGCCTAATTTAAATTACAAAAATAATTTCTAAATTTGGTAAGTATATTATTCTTTGTATAACCGTCTTATTACGCTAGGATCCCATGTTTATTTTTCGACCGTTTGACATCAATCAAAATCCTATTGTTTGTTCCTTTATAAATATTTATATCTACGGTGAAACGGTTATTTTTCACTTTTTCATGAATAAATATATAATTAAAAAAAAAAATGGAAGACGTGTCAGAATTAATTAAAAATAAGAAGTTTCAGTAATGCGGCCCGAAAATTAATAGCTGTTTGGTATAATAAAGAAATGGTAAAAAAAGATATATGTAATTCATCAAAGTCTTTAGGAAATATTTCCTATCTTTGATTATAATAAAATAAAATTATATAAATAATTATAATTATTATAAAAATGTAAAAAGAAAAGTTAATATGTAGAATAAATAAGAAAAAGTTCTTACGCTTAAGACATTTTTATAAATATCCCTAGATACTTATCACAACAACAATTAAAAACAAACAGTGATCATGTACACACAATAAAACCAAAAAAAATAGTATTTCAGGTGTTTATATTTACGATATATTTACTTATTCAATGATACCTTAAATGCTCTCATCAATCAAATGAAGTATAAATAAATGATACCTTAAAACTATAAAATATCATAATTAGTATAATAATGTTTCAAAAATAACTTTATTACAATAAATATTAAATTTAACTATACATACATAAAGTAATAAACTTCAACTTTTTTTAAATTATAACATTTTTTTTTTTAAATCCACTGTGTGTATAATATAATTTACTATCAATATTATAAAAGTAGCATTTTACTATACTTATCGATAAACAACCAGTAGTCAAAATTTACATTTGGATTAAAGTGTATTGATTTTTCGTTTGAAATTTTAAAAAAATGTATAGTTATATTGTCAGCAATACAAGCCCAAAATATACTCTGAAGTGAACTCGTAAACAAAATTCAAAAACGGATCGGCTATCATACTGACATCTGACACTACCGGCAACGATATAAACTCCATACAGTATAGAGATCAAAGGAACTAAACTATAAACATATGTGGGAAATGCTTAAAAATCAAATAAGGGTTTCTTTAGAAATTCGACCACGAAGGTGTGTGTATTGCATTCAATGGACTAAAATATTTGTCCCATGAATATTCTATAAACTTTTTTCAGAACCTTTAGTTGATTTTTGACATGCTAGGGAGAATGATTTATTTAATATTCTCAGACAGCGACCAGAATTCCTAGGAAAGAAAACCTGCTCATTCAATTATTAATCTGTGTATATCTATCTAAGTGCACTACAGTAATCTTCTCTTCGATCTTATAGTATTAAGTAACAAATTGTACACCTTAATGGGTAGATATCACTCTTTTCAGTATCGTTCCTTCATTATACATCTTTAAAGTTCCTGGGTTATGGTTAAAATATACTGAACCCCATTATTTTCAGTTTAAAGTCAAAAAACATGTTTATTTTAATGCCAAAGTTAAATGACTAACATTTTAAAAGAGATTTTTAAATTATGTGTGTTTATTTTATACTCTTGAAAAAAAGTAGAAACGCTTGGATAATTCTCACGAAAGCACTCCAGGAACCAAATAATTAAGTCTCTGGTTTCCAAAATCAATTAGTTCCTCAGAATATACAAGCATTTTTTTTTTTTTTTTACAACATAAAACACGGACTTCTGATAAACTAAACTATGTTTAAAGGTTCTAAAAATTCATAATAATTCATCAAATGAAAATCATCATAAGTCTGAGGATACATAAGTTCAACAATAAGTTTTAACGTTAAGATATTATCTCGAAATAAATGTAATACTATCAAGAAAGCCATAATAACGTTAAAATCACAATTCATAATGAAAAAATTCTTAATCATATTTTACTTAAATAAGTATCCTTAGAAACAATATACCAGACCAACTCCACGAAAGCCTAGGACCACAACCAGAAGCAATAAATAACATGATCAATTTCCTTAAACAACCATACTAATACAAATTAATCAAATTACATTTTAGACATAATAATACAAATTGTAAAAAAAATAACAAAAAACGTTGTATATCCATAATTATAAGCTAATAACCATTGTAGTTGAAGCTAAAGAATTAAAAAAATAAATAAAAATAAAAGCATCCTTAGATGGTACTACGTAAGTTTGGATAAAAATGCAATTAGATAGCTAAATGAATACTGTAATTAATTATAATTTATTAGTCACATTATTCAGATAAATATATTTACTTATATAAAATACTAGAATAACTGATTGTATTATTTGAAATTGAAAATATAATTCCATACATTTGTATTAGAATATCACATTTACAATACAATTGATTTAATTTACATTTGTAAATATTAGAAAATTTACTAAAAATGTCAATATTTTTTTTCGTAAACATAAGATTATGATATAATTTAAATAAATTTAAACATCAAACATCACAAATAAAAATTGAATTTAATAAATACGAGTCGAAGAATTTAAAATTAATATATTCTTAAAACTAGAGCCCGGATATAAATGCACTGAAAATCATACAAATATGCTCTAAAAAATAGCCAAAAATGTCCTTAATAAATGCATTTTACCACAAAAACGAACTTCAAAATGAAAAAATGACGTTAAAAATTACATATTTTTTTTTTTTTTTTTTGGGGCATTATTTAACGCACTATTTAATACATTAAAATCAAAATCACACGTAATACGAGCAACGTATGTATACAAGGTAATATGAACTACAGCTGATTATTTGTTATTTGACTGAATACTGGTGACGTTCCATAATAAATAATAAATTAAGATAAGATAAAAACTGAATCGAAAAATAAAGATTGACAATGTGTATGGAAAAAACCCGATAAACCTGCTTAAATATCAAGAAAATAATTTGTCTTTTGATTATATTTTGAATAGGCTAAATTTGTTTAGTACATCAAACAAATATGCATTAAAAACCAACAAAATGACCCAATAATACTAAAACTGCTCTAAAAATGAAAAAAGTCGAAATATGCAAAAAAAAAAAAAAGTGCAAAATAAAATTTGTAGTTTTGAAACCCTTGTTACATGAAACGAATTATGTTCTTAGAGAGCATTGGGTATGATCAACCAAAATAATATGCATTGAAATCCGGGCCCTACTTATAACACAAGCATTGTCATATACAGTACGTTATCAGTTCAAATGTATAAAGATGTTAATAATAAATAACTAAAATATATATATATATACTTACAGATATATTAATTCTCACTGTGTACATGTAACTTAATAATTCTTCAAATCTGCCTATCAATTACTCATAATATTTAATAGCTAAAAATACATGTATGAATTAATTATAATTCGAAACTAATCAACTAATCATAAAATAAAATATCAATATTACTATAAATATGATCTTAATAAATTATCAGTTATAAGTAATAATTTAAACCTTATAATATTAGGCACATTTGAAAACCCCAATTGGCTATTTTGGTAGTAACTTATAAATATACAATAATTATAAAATATATATTTTCTTAGAATCACACTTTTTCCACAAATATGCTACCAATTAAAAATGTATATTTATTTAAGTAAAATAATAAAAAAATATGAACAAAGTTGAATATCGATAAAATTTTTCCGTTTATAATCGTTAAGAAAATGTAATGTTTTTATAACATAAATTGTACATTAATTCATTAGAATTTCATTAGACCTATGAATATATGATATATTTAGTTCAATATAATAAAATATAATAAGTAACTAAATACTTACACAACTTATAGTTGGTAATTATTTTACTGGACTTGTCATTTGATTAGTGTTAGAATAAATCTTGTGTAACTAATTTATATTAAACCTCCTTATTAGATAAATCATAATTGATAACCAAACGATTAATCGAGAATTACAGCGTAATTGATTGATGAGTCGAAAGAAGTATTAAAAAAATAACTATCTAAATAATAATTTGCCTTGAATTTAATTTAACGATCGGTAATTTAAATAAAATTTTTAAATCTATATAATTTGCTTTGGTATTTTCATTACGTTTATCAAAAAATAAAATAACAATAAAAAAGAACTCCATTCAAATTGGAAATCAGACTGACAGTCGCCGGAAACAATAAAATAATATGACCCACTAGGGTAGACCAAAACTCATTCATAATAATTAATAATTTTATTTTTATTTTTCTATCTAGGCAAGTGTTCTTCAAAAATAATTTTTATTCCATACTCATTGATAATAAACTCATAACTTGTCAACAATTTGACAGACAAAAAATTAATTTTAATTTTACTAATCCGTCAATAAATATAAATGTCAATTGAACAGGTTTTAGTTCGGCACATATTAAGTATACTTAATCCGTTTTCGCTCACAAATATTTTTCATACATATTGAGTAATAATATTAACTTAAATATTAATTAAATGAGAGTAAATAAACTGAGTCTCCAAGAAATGTTATAAAAATAAGAGATATTAAGTAAATACGAATTAATTGTTTGTATTTTTGATACTAATTTAAACATGTATTTTATTCATATACATATACAATGTTTGTGTATAACACTACATACATACATACATACATACATAAATATATCTATATATAAACACACACACACACATCAATATATATATCATATAAAATA